ACCTCAGCTGCAATGAAAAACGGAGCGCAACTGGTAAAGAAGCGCCAATGAATTGGAGACGTTAAAAATTAGCGCGATCGGGGCACTGGACAAATTGTGGTGGACCGACTCCTAGCACAGGCGTTAATTTTTTAAGATTACGTCAACTACCGGTAAGCTATCAACCGATTTTATGGAAATCATTGGGGGAGGCCTATGTTCGGCAGTGGACGTCCTGTGGCTGAAATGATGATGATGATGAATATTTTGCTACAAAAATGCTCACATCAAATTCTCACAAACAAATTTACGCTGATTATTAAGTTTTATAACAAAATTTTATATGGGCCATGTAAAGGACAGCACTTGTAGGGTATTTAACCTTTACATTAACAAACCTTTTGGAAGATAAACGTCTCAAATACACATCCCATAGTAACCTTTGACACGATTCCACCTTTACGTTCTCATCTAATAAATGGATGACGTCATTAAAAGCGGTGGAGTAATTAAACACGTGAAAGGGTTGCTGACGTCATAACATTAATATTTCTGGTGGGAAATTACGTAATGTCTAGACTCTAGACAATAGTTCTTATAATTAGTTGTCATGTGACCTACATTAGTAATCGCAATTTACTTTTTTGTTATCAAAATACATATTTAATTTTAAATCCATACAAGCTTTATCAGGTCATTCATCCGTGGTTGAGGATTTCGGGTGAAGCTCCCTTCCACCTTCGGCCTGATCGTCACTTACCATCAGGTGAGATACAGGCCAAGAGCTTCCTCGTTGTGGATAAAAAAAATCCATCACAACCCTCCTTAATTTCATCATCATCATTTCAGTCACAGGACGTCCACTGGTAAACATGGACCTTCCACCTCCCGTAGCCTTTATGACGGCGTCTGTCCACCATCTTTGTGGGTGGACTACCACGTTGCGCTTGCTGATACTTGGCCTCCATTCCAGAACCTACGAAGCCGCCCGACTATTGTGGTGAGCCCACTCGTAACACAAGCATTAGCTTACCACGAGGGGCTAATGGGACTTAGTAATTTGTGCAAGACAAATATAATTACTAATATACTTTTAGGAGCATTTTGCCTACCCCACTCTGGCCAGACGAGTTTAGGAGGCAAGGATATAAATCAACCGTTTATTATACGCCTAATGTATCATACGCGCCAAAAACTTCGCCCTTAGGCTAAGAACTCATGGTGCGATTTTCACCCGCGCCCGAGGCGGTTGGGGGCCCGCAGCTTCTGTAGAATCTGCATTCTACCCGATTACAACCCGGTTTTTACATAAGTATCTGCATACTTATGTAAAAACCGGGTTGTAATCGGGTCCCGCTCGGCGGTTTTCGCCCGCGGGCGATCATTTTGTACCAGTGACTTAGCACGCGGCGCGATTTAAGATCGCGACCGTGAGTTCTTAGAATAACCGCGTCGTGAGTTTTGAAATAAAACCGCAAATCCACAACCGCCGCGGGCGCGGGTGAAAATCGCGCCGTGAGTTCTTAGCCTTACCCTACAAAACTCTTAATAAAGAAGCACTTAGGTTGCCCTCAGACTGTGGCCCCCCAGGGTCTCCGAGACCCATAACACATTTGCCTTGAGATTAACCCTTAGAGTACTATTACTCTTGATATTAACTTGTCTTGGCTTTAAAGATTAGTGGAAATGTACCTGACAAAAAGACGTTTAGTAACCATAAAAATAATTTAGAGGTCTAGACTGTGGAAGCTAAAAAGTTTTTAGTTCTAGCGCCCACCTTTAAAAGTTTTGAGTAACAAAATAAATCATCAAAACATTTACACCATTATTTACTACCTACTATACTAACTTAAAGGGTGTAATTAATCATTCTGGATATTTTTACACAATTAATGTAATATCGTGATTCCTGACAGAGTTTGTAAATTAACTCCAGCAGTTCTTTTGTCCAGCTATAAACCCTCAAAATACGCAAATACAGAAAGCTTATTATAAATAAGCTTTGCATAGAACACAGAAATATAGAGCAACTAAATACATTCTAACTCGTCATTTTCATAATAGTTAAGGGAATTATTTGATTAGTATCTGTATCCCCTATTAGGTAATTTCCTTTTATTTTAAACTTATAATTTCTACACATTTTCCTTTTTTCTATGGGACAGGAGGCAAAGAAGCAGATGGATCACCTAATGGTAAGTGATTACCGCGGTCTATACAGGGTGTTAGGTAAATGGGTATATGAGCTAAGAAATGAGAAATAAATTTTATAAAATCCGATTTGTATGAAAATTAAAATAATTAAAATGAAGATATCAATTTTCTGACTTCACCATACCATTTATATGCCCATGTTAACATGGGCTAGTGTCGGCTCATATACCCATTTACCTAACACCCTGTAGACACCCGCAGCCCCGGGGGAGTTACAGGTGCCTTGCCGGCCTTTAAGGCATAAGTACGCTCTCTTTTTGAAAGACTGTGTAGGTCATATCGGTCCGGAAATACCGTAGACGACAGTCCATTCTACAATTAATATTAAGCTCATTAAACTGATCCACAATACGTTAAATTAGGGTTGTCCCAACCTTAACCCAATATATTCAGGAACAAAGCTGACCATTGTTCTGGTTAACAATGAATTGCGTAAGGGTCAGCTACCTTCATGTTTGTTTAGATGACATTGTCCGTAAATGTGGTATGACAACCTTGTCCACTGATGTCCAACACTAGCCTTTGCTCGTGCCTTCACTTGCTATCACCATCGTCATTATTAGATTCAAGATTAGGTACCACTCTACATAAAGGCCTCCGTTTTACAAAGTGAAAAGATGCGTTTGCTCATTGGTTGCTACAGGTAAATTGAATTATCACTATTTTATTTCTATCCCAGTGCTCATAAATTCCTTACAGTATGCTCTCAACTCAACTTGCAAATAATATGGCTACTATGGACGAATTGGATTCTTCCACCAATATTTGATCCTGTCGAAGCCAAACTAAAACCCACGTAAAACGGAACGCAGTAACTTCACTCAGCGGCGCTCTTATTGGCTACTTTAAAGAACGTATTGCTGTCAAAATTTGAATTTTATGCATATCACTTTTCTTTTGGTCTACGCATTACAACCTTTGAACCTGTAACTGTCTTTTTTCTGTTCATCATCTACTGCAACTGAAATCTTCAATTCTCATACGAAACAGATCCCCTAGCAGATAAATACTAAACCCTATTCATAGTTTGTGATCTTAAACATTCTGGTGAACCCACTAGAATACAAATACAAAGATGGATGTTTTAGATAGCCAAAAAATAAGGAAATTTCACTCGGTTTACACTTCCATATCTAAAAAAATTTACAGCCAAAAATTTTTGCAAACAAACAAATTGGGCATTATTATTATGTTTAGTATATCAGATTCATCCTCATCTCCTGCTCTTCCAATAGCTTCAAACTAAGCTCTATGTGCATATCCATAAGTTCCATTATAAAACACCCCCTTTACAGTGATTTTAGAATATATAGAGCCGCGCATCATCTGTCAGTTAATACTTTGACAAAGATCAATAGCTATGTTCGGTCGCGTCAAGTTGTTCTGCTTGCTTGTGTGCTTGGCCGGCGCGTGCGCTGACGATATTTGTGACGATGTTGGAGAAGAGGTATGTATTGATTAAAAATACTTAATATAATAATCATAATCTCATCATCATTATCAGCATCGAGGTCTTTAGTCGCAGAAATTAGACCCGCTTTAATAGGATTTGACCTACACGCTGGCAAAAGCCGGATTAAAAACAATAATTCAGTAAAAAATGTGGTGTTTCAATGGCAAATCATGTATGTACAGAAGACAATATAAATATTGAGATGAGTAACGTATTTAATAAAATAAAAATAAACTACAAAAACAAAAGGAAGACAATTAAAGAAAGTAAAGAATACGGCATTAATCGTGAATTACACAGGTATATCCCCATGCAAAAAAGTATGTCTGTTTTACTCCGTATTTTTCAAGTCAGCTTAAACACGCAATCTACATCTAGACATCAAACAGACCCATTTAAAATCTAGATCTTGTTTTGTACAAACGCCGAGCTGGGATAGTAACTTTTCTGGTGCAAACAATAAATATCCCAGATAGCATCGCATACATCCGGGACTAAGCTGAATTCATGTGCTAACGTAAAACTGTGAGCACTGTAACATAGTGTATTTTGTGCACGGGCTCGGGAGAGAGCACGAAAGCGAAAATGGAAGCGGGTGCGGACTTAGGCTCAGTTGCACCACTTAACTTTGGACGGTAACTATAACAATAACCGATGTTTTTTGTATGGAGTTTGACAGATTTTTGACGTTTGTCAAAGTTAAAGTAAGATGGTGCAACCCTGCCTTAAACTTTATGAATTAACAATCGTTCTTGCAACTCACGAAGGCTAGTGAGCTTTATTTGTGTGTGTACGTGTACATGCACATAACGGTAGTGTAATAATGTCTGTCAAAACTTTGGAAAAATGAACAGTAGCGAGCCACCACACATGTAAAACTTACTCGCTTTCGTGAATTGCAAAAACTTTACATTATGTTTATCTCGAAATGCTGGCTGGGCGGAGACGTGAAAAGGCTCAAAAACTATTAAATTAATCCAAACAAATAACAAAGATAATTTTGAAATAAGATGTAAATTACTTAATCATATTTCAAGTAAAGAATTACAATTAATAGTTAAGCTCTGACGGGCGTAGGCAATTTTGAAATGACTTATTTTATCCAATCTTAGAAGAATAGTAGGTACTATTTTTATTAGTAGTATTTATAATAGAAGTAAAATTTAAATTATGTAAAGCAGGCAGTCTGAGTCAGTTCACTTTACTTCTCATTAGAGTAAGAGTATTAAGTAGATTCTGTAAATGTCCAAAGTAATTTTAATTCAGCATTTCTTTTATTACTTTATTTACCAAACCACGTTTTTCGCATTATTTAGCTTGTCTTTATTACTTTTAGAGAGTTAGAGCCGTGCTCTGCGCGACGCGATAAGTCGTGGTCGTGTCGAAATCGTTCTGTGCGTGCGCCGTGCGACGGTGACTCATTGCGTGGGACAATGACTTCGAATATTGTGAAATGCTCAAACTGTGATGTTGTTATCAACGAGTTACTAACTTTTGTGCGCAATGTCATGGACTACATGGACGAGGAAAGCATACACCAGCTGTGCACCACCTCCTTTTCAATTGACGATATTGCGAAGGCGAAATCGTTACTTTTTGAATCGATGCCGAATGCGAAGAAAATGCCACTGCGCCGTAAAAAGGACAAGAAGAGAATGTCGAGAGATCTAGATGATATTATTAATTTAATGAAAAGTGCCGATCCTCAGATATTCCCGATTTTTGTGGCTAGAGATCTACATTTGGTCCCACCAGTGACCTTTGATCACGTAGATGTAACCAGGTTGCTTAAGGATATTCTCTGTCTGAAAAGTCAACTGAATGCATTGGAGGAGAAGGTAATAACATCAGATCAGTTTAATCTTCTCAAACAAGAGATCGAGCACATAAAACATGCATCTTTGATTGACGATTTTTCGCCTCGAGATAATGTAAACAAGGGAAGAGGGGCATGTTTGCAAAACAGTTTTATGATGAGTAGCGGACCTATTGGACTTCCATATGTACCTGAATATGTGCCGATAAAGGCATCACAAACATCAGCTGTTGCCGGAATTATCAACCAACCCTCACTAGTGAGACATTCATCGTCAAAGGAGCTAGATGCGGATGATTCTGTCTCTTTTACTTACGCGCAAAATAAAGCAACGGAGGATGCTAACCGAACTGAGGCCCTGGCGCATACTGCGGTTACGTCAATGAGTAATATAGGTGATAGCCGGGCGGTACCGGTATGCAGTGACAGCATTAGTACAAGTGAGACAGAGAATCGCGATGTGCGAGTGGGGGCCCCGGCGGCTGCTACGGTTTCGACGGAACCGGTTGCCTCGGGGTACGGCACGAGCGCTTCCGACGGTCACGGCCTTACTACTGGAAATCGATCGACTGAGGTTGTTATCGAGCGGGCGCTTATCTCAAGTGCAACACGAATTGATGCGCGCGGCGGCCTCTCTGCGCGAGATCCCAGTGTGAAATATGATCAAGTGGTAGGGGACTCGGAATGGCAAATTGTTCAAAAGAAATCTGCGAAGCGTTACAAGCTAATTGGGCAGAGAGGTAGTGCTCCCACTGCCCCTGATGGTAAATTTAAAGCAGCTGATGTGAAAGTGCCACTCTTAATCTCAAATGTAAGTAAAGATGCAAGTGTAAGTGACATAATTAGCTATATTCAAGACAAAACTGATGAAAGTGTATCGTTAAAAAAGATTAATATGCGAAAAACAAAACCGTACAATTCATATAAGTTATACGTTTCAAAGTGTAAAGTAGATTTATTTTTAAAGGATAATTTCTGGCCAAGTGGAGTTACATTTAGGCGTTTTGTGAACTTTTTGTATAAGAAGGGGTCAGTAGTTAAAGATAGTCAACACTTAGTAAAATGATTGTAAGTACTGAAAAATTAACCTTGACTAGTTTTAATTGCTTTTTTGTTACACGATCGATTAATGATATACGGAACATTTGTGGAATGTCGGATGTAGTGGCGCTTCAGGAGACATGTCTACTCCCCCATGATATTCCACTGTTAGGTAATATCTCTAGTGACTTTGAATACACAGGTAAATCTGCTGTTGATACATCTGTTGGCTTATTAAAGGGAAGACCGTATGGGGGAGTTGCCATTCTCTGGCGGCGGGGCATTTTTGATAGCGTTGCTGTGTTAGACTGCAGCAGTACCCGTTTGATAGGTATTAGAGCCACTGTAGGGGAGCGCACTGTTTTAATTTTTTCAGTGTATATGCCTACTGACTCGCTGGACAACCTACCTATTTTCACAGAGGTGTTAGGTGAATTAAGCGNTATAGCTGCAAATGATGGTATTACATTTAAATTTATTCCTCCCTATTCTGCTCATTTTGGGGGACTTTGGGAAGCAGGGGTCAAATCGTGTAAGTATCACCTGAGACGCATACTAGGCAATGCTAATTTAACATACGAGGAGTTTAGCCCGGTATTAGCACAAATCGAAGCCGTCCTGAATTCCCGTCCTTTGTCATGTTTATCCACAGATCCCTCCGACTACCTTCCCTTAACTCCATCCCACTTCCTCATTGGCCGCCCCCTGACCGCTCCAGCTGCTGTTGACATCACCGAGGCACAGACTAGACGCCTGACACGCTACGACAGGATCGAACAGCTTCGCCAACACTTCTGGAAGCGCTGGGCCACTGAATACGTCACTGAGTTTCAAATTCGAACCAAGTGGAAGACAAACACAAATGAAATAAAACTGGATAGTCTAGTTTTAATCAGGGACGATCAACAACCACCACTCAAGTGGAGATTGGGAAGAATTGCTGAAATTTTTCCCGGCAAAGATAGAGTTGCACGCGTCGCAAACATTCGAACATCGACTGGAATAGTGAAGCGGGCGTTTTCAAAACTTTGTCCTCTTCCGCTTCCTACAACAAATGAAAATGAAGATTGCATCGCTTCAATCAACAATCAATGAAACTAAACGAAGATCGAAGAACCTACTACCGGACTACATTTTGAAAGTCAATCATGACCTTTCAAGGCTGGCGGTATGTTAGCGCCATCTATGGGCGCAAGAAAACAACTCATGACGTCAAAGGCGCGGAACCAGAGTGAAGATCGCAGCTAACTTCGCGCCGCTCTGCCCTCCTGTCAACTTAAATCGAACGTTTCTAACACTCGACAATTTGATCTCGTTGCATACAGTCTGTAAACCTATCACTTTAAATAAACGTTAAAACCGTAATTTCAATAATAATTAGTCATTGAAGAGACCCTTATTCCTACATATATTCGAAAGTCTGAGCTCGAAACAGTATCGAAAATTGACTCGATCGTATAATTTCGGTTCACAGATTAAATACAATAGATTCTACAAAAGTAATTGACTTTTGTGTGGCAATTTCGGCTCAAGACAATTTTGGTTGGCATACTGAAATATGTGTCGCCATCGGCAGGTCGTTGGCCGGCAGCAGCGTGGCGGCGCACCTGGCGTTCCTGCGCTGGTGCGGCTTCTGCCGGCTGCGCGCGCCCGCGGGCCGGCCGCAGCTGGCGCGCGCGCACGCGCTCTACTGCCGCTTCGCGCTCGCCGCCACCTCCGTGTACCTGGCGCAGGAGTGCGTCTACGCCTACCAGGTGCCACAACGCTCCCGCTTCCGCACTGTGCCTCTCATGCTGACTCCACATGGCGTTAATGCCTCACGGTCTTTAAGTACACCCGACACATTGTATCATGAATTTTAATGCATGTTTCTTGAATGTACATAATTATCTCTATATTATAACTGGATGTCATTTGTCTATCTTTTAGTCGGTCTTCCTCTGCCGCGGGTGTCATCGTGGGGTCTCCACTATAAGGTCTTTCTGGCCCAGCGATCATGATTCATTCGTACAACGTGTTCTGCCCATCTCCATTTACGGTTTTCAATCTCTTCCACCATGTCACTGGCCCCTAATTTTTCGTTTATCTTGTGATCTTGTAGAGAAACACCAAGAATCTGTATTTCCATTGCTCGTTTTGCAACGCGGAGTCTCTCAGCAAACTTTTCTGTCAGCGTCGTGGAATACGACTGTTTGTGCCGAATTTTTCCCAAGTTTATTATCCGATGCGCTTTTTTACCTCCGCAACCTGGTTTTTGGTCTCAAGAGTGATCTTAGAAATCGAACAATTCTACATGTAGGAAGTGATTGATCGCGTTAAAATGATATTAATGTGCGTTTATTTTACCCAGGTGCGTAATGATATGGACAAGCTGGCGCGCGTGATGTTCCTGCTGCTGTGCCACGTCACGTCCATCACGAAGCAGCTGGTGTTCTACATGAGTGCCGACAAAATCGACGAAATGATCAGCGCTCTCGATGGTGATGAGGGTGTTCACTTTTTGGAAGATAAAAGTGAAGCATTTTGCACGGTGTTCCTAGATTATGTAGTTGGTTTTCAGATCCCCTGTACAACCAGCCGGCGGCGTGGCAGCGCGCGCTGCTGGCGGCGACGGCGCGCAGCGCGGGCCGGCTGCTACGCGCCTACTCGGGCACGGCGGTGGTCACGTGCACGCTCTGGATCATCTTCCCCATCCTGTACTACGCGCAAGGACTGCCCGTTGAGTTTCCCTTTTGGACCAACCTCGATCATAGCAAACCGACTTTGTAAGTGCTATCCGGTTGTAAATTATACGCCCTCATTTACAAACCGGAACTCCTATCTGTTACTAAGGGTTTGGTATTATGTTACAGTTTCGTGATTTTACTAATGTACTCATACTACGTGACGACTTTGGTGGGCATAGCGAATACCACTATGGATGCCTTTATGGGGACAGTATTGTATCAATGCAAAACACAGTTGAGAATTTTAAGGTTTGCATTATGTTTTACAGTCCCTTTTTTATAGCCTGATGCGATGCCTAATAATGTCTTGCATTTTAGGATGAATTTGGAAAATCTGATAGAAAGGGCAACAACAGTCGTGAAGGAAAACTCTGATGAAATATTTGATAAAGTTTTAGACAGATTATTCCTTGAATGTCTAGAGCATTATCGGCAAATATCCGAGTGAGTAATTTTGTCATCTTTATTATGAACATTGTATCTGTCTATTTTGCGGTAATTTATTTTTGATGTAGGACCAATCGTCGGCTTCAGGATATTTTTGGCACGTCCATACTAGTTCAGTTTGGCATTGGTGGTTGGATTCTCTGTATGGCAGCTTACAAAATGATTGGGGTAATTATAATTTATATTAACATTATCATTAATAATCTTCTTCAGTGAGCTATATTGTTATTTTTAAATTTCAGCTGAATATTTTGAGTATTGAATTTGCATCTATGACTCTTTTCATCACTTGTATTCTTACGGAATTGTTTCTCTACTGCTATTACGGCAATGAAGTGACAGTAGAGGTAAGTGCATCTTCGTTGTATTTATTGATCTCTATCAGCTGTCCATCTTAGATTTTTTTACTTGATTATTAAGCGCTTATTTTTCCAATGATATCATAATCCATAGAGACGTGTATTATACCTAACGAAGGCGTGTGTTTCAGAGCGACCGCATGGTGGAGGCGGTGTACGCCATGGAGTGGCTGCACGCGCCGCTGCGCTTCAAGCGCTCGCTGGTGCTGCTGATGGAGCGCGCCAAGCGCCCGCTGCGCCCCGCCGCCGGCCTCATCATCCCTCTATCTCTCAACACTTTTGTGACGGTTATTATTTTCTTCATTTCTTTTTTACATTCTTATAAAAAGCTCAATAGTTAGTTATAGCTTTCTTTGGAAATACCCAAACAAATAAGTACATTCACTACGTATAATAAGATTCTTGTATTTCAGATCTTGAGGTCGTCCTACACGTTTTACGCAGTACTTCGCCAGACAAAGTAAACAACACCATAATGAATAACCTTAGTATGTGTAAGTGCAGTTCACGTGTAGAGAAGTCGACGAGTGTTGTTTTTACGGTGAAGGTGCTGCAAATGGAGTGTATTCCACAAACAGCGGCACGCGCGCGGCGAGATACAACAACAACGCTGCGGCCTGCGCGCCGGGCAGTCGGCGCGGCTCTACGTCGACGGCCCCGACGATATTGAAAAGTAATGGTCGTCGTAAAAATAACAAAACCGCAGAACGCCGCTACAACGGCATTATGAAGGGGCTGTATTCATGCCGCAGCGATATTAGACATCTGTGTTATTCTTGCTTAAGCATAAAGTTCAGCACGAATACATAGTTTTTTTGTTTTATTGTTTCTTTTTACTCAACTACGGTGACAAAAAGGACCAGCTAATACCCGCTCAGCTATAATAATATTTAATAAGTGAGATCATTGCAATTTACTACGTGCAAGAGCATTGTAAGATTAATTCAATGTGATAGTTTGTGTGGATGCAAGGATAGATTTTTACTACCTACTCTCTTACACAAGAAACTACTGAACGAACTTTAATCAACCTTTACAGTATTCACCAACTCCTATTTTATCTGGAATTATGCAAAATACTTATAAAGAAACTGATTTGACGTAGATTAGCATACAAACATTTTGTCAGTGGTTTAGCCTTTGCGCAACGAAGATCGACAGGGTCTTAGTCCTACGACGCGCCGCGCAAGATTAAGTCGAAGAACAGAGCGTAAATGAAATTTACACGACCCTTTTGAAGTTAACAACATTCTTGTCGGTGTCGCCGCCAGACTCCTGAGGCGATGGAATTTAATAAACATAATTATTACAGGGCGCAAGCGGGCCGTCATTCTTGTAAATTTACTTTTTTTCTGTATCGGAGTAGGACAAAATTAAAGAGTCAGGCAAATAATAGGAATTTATGGTGACAGCCCTTTGTAATCAAACGCCCGCAAACCCGAGACATTTGCCTAATGAAGCGCCGCGGAGCCGCTCTACAGTCGTGGCACCTGCGATCTAGACGATGGTTTCAATTAACCACTACCAGTTATTCTAGCGCGTAAACTAATAACAATTTTCCGAAAACATGTTCATAATTCAAAACAAATGATAAAAAGCAAACATGAATTGAATAAAACGCTTTACAATAATAGTTGACCGTGTTGTTGATTAGCTGATTCAAATTTAGTTAGAAATAAGGCAGTAGTAATGTGTGCCGAGCACACAGCGCGGGTTAATAGAGATTGGAATCATCCAATCCATCCAAGCACACGTCACTGATGGCAGCGTTATCAAGCGCTGCCATCAGTGACGTGTGCTTGGCGCAAATATTGTTCGCGAGGCAGTCCTCAGTGCTGCATCGCATGATATTTCGTATGAAACTAAACTTAGTAAAGGTATAAATATTGGTGTGAGTATATATTTTTCTCATTTCACTGATTTATAAGCGAGTACGCATGTCGGATATAGACATCTGTCAAATTGAAACCCTTAGAGAGGATCTCCGGTACCGACAGACGCAAGACCTACAAGGCTTCGCCAACCGCTTACTCTGCGATGCTAATAACGAGACTGCTTACAAAAATTGAATTTAAAGTGAGGCGCCTTCATTTGAATTTATTACGAATATCATTTTCATTCATTTGCATTTAATTCCGAGTACGCGCCGACCACCCTTGAGATTGTTTGTTTACGTTTATGATCGCTGTTTGATTTTCAGTGTGTTATTGGTGTTACGGTGAACATTGCCCCCGCGAGTGTCTGATATGCGATTTATGAAATAGCATTATTGATGGAATACCTTAAGAGAGAATAATTTATCGATCAAAAACCTTTAAATCCATCGCAGAACCAGGAAAACCTTAGGGCGATAAGCAAATTTCTGGTTTATCACACTACCTGGGGGGTCTCTTTGTTCGATTATAATATCAGTAACTACTATAATAAATGCAGAGGTGAATTAAGCGCAATTGTTGAAAGCGAATGTGTTGAAAGCATATTTATACTGGGTGACTTTAATGCGCACCCACATGAACATTTTTTTAATGAGTTGACTAACTTTTGTTCCGATCAGAGTTGGATGTGTGCTGACATAAATAAACTCGGTTTGCAGTCTAACGTGTACACCTATGTTAGCGCGGCTCACGGGTGCAGGCGATGGCTGGACCACTGTGTTGTCTCAGATTCGGCCTGGCAATCTGTTGTCGAAGTAGAGGTTATAGAAGACGTTTTTGTGTCGGATCATTTACCACTAATAATTAAATGTGACTTAAAGATCGTTAGGCCTAAATTAATGGCACGTGACTTGCATCCCAGTTCAGTAATATGGGGGGAAAGAGATCAGAAGCAAATATCTAAGTATCAAAAATTATGTCACAGTAGACTGCGTGAGATTGATTTCCCTTCTGAGTTGACGGGATGCAGTCGCGAGTTATGCGGTTTAGATGAACACAGGCGGGTGTTAGACCGGCTATATAACAGCATTGTCCATGCCCTGAGCGATGCGAGTAGTAAAAGTAAGAAAAAGCCTAGTAACAAGCCAAGTAAAAACCGAAACATTTGTGGCTGGAACAAACATGTTCAAGAGGCACATCGGGTGGCCAGGCTTAACTTTAGGGTATGGTTATCATATAATAGACCATCTTCTGGGAGGATATATGATCAGATGAACGAATCGAGAAAAATTTTCAAAAGTCGTTTAAAATGGTGTCAACGAAACCAAGAGCAACTGAAAATGGACACACTTGCAAAGCATAGGTTGGATAAAAACTTTAAACAATTTTGGAAGGCTACCAAGAGATGTGATGTCAGGCCTGGCCTCCCAGTGAGCGTAGGTGGGGAGAGCGAGTCGGTACATATTGCAAATATGTTTGCGCAACATTTCAAAGTGCATTCCCCACTGAGGCAATCAGTCTCTGTAAATAATGCGAAGACCGGATTTCAGGGGGACGTGCCGCTNGATTTGCAAAAATAAATGAGTTTTAGATAATTTGACAGGAATCTAGTTCGGGAGCTTACAGACGAGCGACAGGGACATTCAACTTTTAGTTGACGATAGGTGCAATCGTAAATCGATAGGTCCCGATGCGATATACCGTCTTAAATAGGCGTTGACCGTCGCCAACCACTGTGGTAATCAGTCGCTTGTCTTTAAGCGCACTTCCACATCATTTTTTGCATGGGCTCTTTTGCCAAATAAATATTTCTATCCTAAAATATTGTAAGACGCGAATAATACTTATTTTTGTAGAGATTACTGCTGTTTCCTTGTTATCATTAGATATTCGGCGCGACAATTAAAAAAGCACATCCACGAGGTCCACTACAAAAGCCATCCTCCAATTTCAGGTGTCCCACCGCAAAGGCCTCCCGCACGTAATCTACTGCCGCGTGTGGCGTTGGCCCGACCTGCAGAGCCACCACGAGCTAAAGCCGCTCGAGATCTGTCAGTATCCCTTCAGCGCCAAGCAGAAGGAGGTATGCATCAACCCTTACCACTACAAGCGCGTCGAGAGCCCCGTCCTGCCCCCGGTGTTAGTTCCACGCCACTCGGAGTTCGCGCCGGGACATTCGCTTCTACCCTTCCAGCGGACGACGGAGCCGGCTATGCCCCATAACGTATCCTACTCTGGCTCAGGTTTTCCACCTTCCGCCAGCTCGGAACTCCCCGATACGCCCCCGCCGGCCTACTCCCCCCCTTCGGACGACACCGAACCACCCGGGGAAGTCGCTCCCGTCTCCTATCAGGAACCACTCTATTGGGCGTCCGTAGCTTATTATGAACTGAACTGTCGAGTCGGGGAAGTGTTCCACTGCAGTTCTCATTCGGTGGTCGTCGACGGCTTCACCGACCCGTCCAGCAACAGCGATCGATTCTGCCTCGGCCAGCTCAGCAACGTCAACAGGAACTCTACCATCGAGAACACCAGACGTCATATAGGAAAAGGCGTGCATTTGTATTACGTGGGCGGCGAGGTGTACGCAGAATGTCTATCTGACGCAGCGATATTCGTGCAGAGCCGCAACTGCAATCACCACCACGGTTTCCACCCGTCGACCGTCTGCAAGATTCCCCCGGGTTGCTCGCTTAAGATCTTCAACAACCGGGAGTTCGCTCAGCTGCTGTCCCAGAGCGTGAACCACGGCTTCGAAGCGGTTTACGAGTTGACCAAGATGTGCACGATTCGGATGTCGTTCGTCAAAGGGTGGGGGGCCGAGTATCATCGCCAGGACGTGACGTCTACGCCTTGCTGGATTGAGATCCACCTCCACGGCCCGCTACAGTGGCTCGATAAAGTCCTGACCCAAATGGGCTCGCCCCACAACGCTATCTCCTCGGTGTCTTAGCCGCGTTGCCGAGACCCCCCTCCCCACCGCATCTTATTGTATTTCAAATCTGGTATTAGTGAATCAATCTCACGAAAGGGTGTCATGTTTTGTGCATTTCGTTGTTTTGTAATTCGTAAATTATTCGGTTGCTTTTAGAGTAGGCGCACACCGTTGATTTTTCGTCGGCCGATAGTTTAGTCGGGCAGTTGACCAGTATGGGCAATGGGCATGTATGGGAGTGCGCACACTACGCCGATTCGATTTGGACGATTCTTCATACATTTTAAAATCGGGCACAACTATCGGCCAACTAAAAATCAACGGTGTGCACCTACTCTTAGAAATCAGTTCCGCGTTTTCCGCGTATCGGGATAAAGTAACCCTACGTGAAGCCAATAGTAGATGATATAACCTTGTTTTAGGATTAACCTCAGATTACATACGTAATATTATATATTTTGAACTTTAAAGACATTTATGCTAGACTGAGAATTAAAATTACTACAATCTCTGACTCGGCGCGATAATGTTAGCTTCACAGATATTGGCTGAAAGGTTCCCCCTATTTTCGAATGTTGCAGCTCAAATGGCGTGCCCAATGTATTCGTAACTACAGACTTAGCGTTACTACTATAAAGACAGATACGATAGACGTACGTTATGAAATAATTATACTCGTGTATGTTTATGACAAGGTAAAAGATATTATTGGTGTACATAGTGTTTTTATTTTTGAAAATGTTCGATGTAAGTTTATGGCATCTAGTTTTCTTTGGCACAAAAGTTCGAAACTTGAATATTTACGATATTATGTAAGTGATGATTATACACAAATATATTGTAGTTTAAGACAGAATGTTAGTTTCGTATAAAGTATATGTTTAGGAGCTTATTGACGAATGCAATTTTTATTATTATAACGTACAGTTATATTATTAAAAGGGACAGTGGCTTTTTTATTTATGTATATTTATCTCATAGCTTTGATAATGAACGTAGTCGATGATCGCTTACCATCAGATCGGGTATGCCCGATTGCCGATATTTGTTTATGAAAATGTTTTAAAACAACATAAAAAATAATGTTCTCCAATTTATGCATAAATATTAAAAGCCACACCCCCAAATGCATAGTTTTAAGTAATATGTGTTCTATATTATAAATTTTATGAATAAGACAAACAGTACCAACTAACATGTTATGTCGTGAACATAATGTGCATATAAATTAATTAATGTACTCTCATGCTTACTGCTTTGATGCCAATCCTAAATCTGTAATAGTTTTCACAGGAACTGAATAATTAAAGGTGCAGATACACATGCTCAATACTAGCACGAAAGCATTCTACTATTGAGTAAAATGCTCCTTAGAAGCATGTATCGAAACATTTGCTAACAATAAGCATTCTCATTTGAAATTGTTCGAGCGTACTTGTATTAAGCATGCTAATAAGCATGACACTTTACGTGCATGTGTATCGGTACCTTAATATTGCGCAAAATGATGGATTATAACGCTTGTCTGTCATCAAAAAGTAATGGTTTCTCACATAAAACCATAATAGTGTTATTTGGTGCTTTTGTTTCAACGTATATTCGTGCCATTTCGGTAAATTTTAATCTTGAATTTATAGCAAATAAATTCAAAATTTTTGCACTAGTGTTTATGTGACCGAATCCGATTTTATGCAACTAAAACGATTGTTATTGATTAAGTTAATTTTATTCCAAGTAAGTTTATGAATAGGGTATAGAGGGGCCACACGGATAGCTTGAGAGATTTGGCAGTCGACAACCCTGAATTTCGTGTGTGACATGAAAAGAAAACGTGCGCGTTAAACTATAAACTTCATTTTACTCTAAATAGCAGCCACAAATTTATACAAAATTAAATCACCCTTTATTACAGGGATGTCTACATGTATGAAAATATGGCAAAGTTTGTTTTCACATTTGTTTAGAAGTAAAATAATGTGTGAATTTTGTTAAACATGCGCTCATTTGTCCACTATTGAAAGTCTACTAAGTAAAATGACTAACTTATCAAGCTGCCCGTATGTGGTCCCTCGTAGGGTGTAAAACAAAGCCTACTAGAATTTTCTTTGTGAACCAAATCGGGACATCGTATGCAGAACAAAATAAAGATGAAATTGATCTCAAAATATTGATTAAGATGGCTTTAGTTCCTCAAAAAGAGTGACTGTGAGGTGTCCCAACAATGCCTTAGTAGCGCAATTGTATTGCAAATATTTTGAAATATTTACCGAGAAATATTAAACTTTAAATATTTTAACGTAACTTGGTACTAAAATAGCTAATAATTATATTTCAGTACTATTAAAAAATTGTATTTACATAATGAAAAAACTTATAAAAAGAGGTCAGGTTCTTATAAAACGGCCTGAAATATTTTAAGGCTTTCATTTAGCTAATACGAGTGAAATATACGAATAAGTCCAAATAGAATGTTGATAAATCCGTGACTATTTTTATTTATCGACTGCACAGTAATCAGACAAAGTGAAATCGTTAAATTAATTAAGTCGCATTCAGGTTTAATTATTTAAGCAAGTTGCAGACCAAAAGCTCAGTTATACAGTGTGTCCGGGCATGTAGTGATCAAACTTTAAGGGCGTAATCTATGACTTTAGGGTATGGTTATCATATAATAGACCATCTTCTGGGAGGATATATGATCAGATGAACGAATCGAGAAAAATTTTCAAAAGTCGTTTAAAATGGTGTCAACGAAACCAAGAGCAACTGAAAATGGACACACTTGCAAAGCATAGGTTGGATAAAAACTTTAAACAATTTTGGAAGGCTACCAAGAGATGTGATGTCAGGCCTGGCCTCCCAGTGAGCGTAGGTGGGGAGAGCGAGTCGGTACATATTGCAAATATGTTTGCGCAACATTTCAAAGTGCATTCCCCACTGAGGCAATCAGTCTCTGTAAATAATGCGAAGACCGGATTTCAGGGGGACGTGCCGCTGATGCGCGTTACTGCAAAGCAGGTTAGAGAGGCCCTAAAAAGAATGACCGGCGGCAAGTCTCCCGGTCATGACGGCATTAGTGTAGAACACCTTAGGCATGCGGGGCCTCACCTGCCGAGAGTACTGGCCCTGTTCTTTTCGTTATGCATAAATCACTCTTATTTACCACATGAACTTATCAAGACCATCGTAGTGCCCATCGTGAAGGACAGGACCGGTGACATCTCTAGCAAGGTTAACTACCGCCCTATATCACTAGCAACAACAATTGCTAAGGTGTTGGACAGTGTATTTGACTTGGAGCTAGGCAAATATGCAAACATACATGACGCGCAGTTTGGGTTCCGACCTGGACTTTCTACTGAAAGCGCGATCCTGAGTCTAAAGCACGCTGTCCAGTACTACACAGATCGCAGGACGCCGGTGTACGCCTGCTTCCTTGACCTCTCCAAGGCCTTTGACCTAGTGTCCTATGAAGTACTTTGGAGAAAGTTAGCGGGTGGGGGTGTACCGGCGGAGTTGCTGGATATGTTTAGGTTTTGGTATTCCAACCAAACCAACCTTGTAAGGTGGGCTGACTCCCTTTCGGAAGCGTACGTGCTGGAGTGCGGGGTGAGACAGGGGGGGTTGACGTCTCCCAAGCTCTTCAACATGTACGTGAATGACCTCATCGTGGAGCTGAGCAGCATGCGCGTCGGATGTCGCATAGACGGCGTTAGCATCAATAATATAAGCTACGCTGACGATATGGTGCTGCTGAGCCCGACGGTGGGTGGCCTAAGAGAAATGTTAAGGGTGTGTGAGACGTATGCTGCGGAGCATGGGCTCACATACAATGTCAAAAAAACAGAGTACATGATCTTTGAGGCCGCTGGTAAATGTCTCAATTCTGCACATAATGTTACCCTTAATGGCCTGAGCGTGAAACGTGTCACTAAATTTAAATATCTGGGACATATTATTACCAGTGTATTTTATGGACAATTTTATCGGTGAAAATACTTTAAATTTGGGGCTTGACCCATTTCTCGCATATTTACAAGGATTTAAGTTTTTAATTTTAAGTTTTCACCTCTTCCTTCAAAAACAAGTGATAGCGTGGGTAACTTAACATTAATAAGCAAATATTTTAAATCATGCGATAGCCAATAAAATTATCTACTAGTAGAAGTAGAAAACAGACACAAGTTTCATACATTTTAAGGGAGTAAGAATGGATTTAATTAGAAATAAACATGATTTTTTTCACATCTTTTTCAGTAATTTCCCAACACAAGAAAAACCAGGTCGTTAAGGTATGTTTTATTTGCATTGTATTATTAGTATTTGAGCTATTCTACAAAACGAATGTAAATTTATTAGTTTACGTCTATTAGTTTTGACGTAATTGTTGAACATAGATACCCATTCCCAGCTGTTTCCATAGTAATCGGAATAGGTTGTGTGATTCTTTCAGGCAGTGCATTTTCGCATGTCGCGTGCGCTATGGAAACCGCTGGGAAGGGGTATATTTGTTCAACAATTACGTCGAAACCAATAGACGTAGACTAATAAATTTACATTCGTTTTGTAGAATGGCTCAAATACTAATAATAAAATGCAAATAAAACATACCTTAACGACCTGGTTTTTCTTGTGTTGGGAAATAACTGAAAAAGGTGTGAAAAAAATTATGTTTATTTCTAATTAAATTTATTCTTACACCCTTAAAATGTATGAAACTTGTATCTGTTTTCTACTTCTACTAATAGATAATTTTATTGGCTATCGCATAATATACAATTTTTGCTTATTAATGTTAAACTACCCACGCTATCACTTGTTTTTGAAGGAAGAGGTGAAAACTTAAAATTAAAAACTTAAATCCTTGTAAATATGCGAGAAATGGGTCAAGCCCCAAATTTAAAGTATTTTCACCGATAAAATTGTCCATAGATTACGCCCTTAAAGTTTGATCACTACATGCCCGGACACACTGTATAAGTTTGTTTGCAACTCTTAGCTTAGGTATTTTTTCACATTTGTGAAAAATATGAGCAAAATTACACACCAAGCTAAATCATATGCTTTTGGAAAAACGGCTATTTTTACAATCGACGTGTGTATAGGTCGCGCAACGAAAATTGAGGCGAACACATACAATGGTGTTATATTTGAATACAGAAAGAACACACTAATTAATTAGTCAAAATACGCAAGACGTCAGCGCGATAGATGACCCACGCTGAACTGTCCCACCAAACTCATTGACAGAAGGGCGCCACCATCGTTCAACTATATGGTTTCCACCATGGCAAAAATCGGAACCAGCGATCCGGTATTGACGGTGGTGCCCCCCTGTCAATGTCACAGGTTGGACAGTTCAGTGTATTGGGTCTATACAGCTATAGTCAAACGATTCTAAAACGTCAAGTGGCATATATCGGAACTAATAAACCAGTATTGATAGTAGCGCCCTCCTGTAAATGTCATAATTAATTATGATTGTCCATCGTGGCAAAAATTGGAACTAATAATACAGTATTGATAGTAGCGCCCTCCTATCAATGTAATAATAGCTGGGACTGTTCAGTTTTGGACTGCAAAAGATTTGCTTGTTTTGATAGTCTCAACTCCTGTTGTGTGACCTATACTTTTACCTAAATAAAGGTAAAATTATTTTGACGCAACAATACTAAAGTTGATCTAATAAAATATACTGTAAATTAATACATAGTGTCCTTATTATAAATGGTGGTTTGTAACTGATGGCCTGCTGTCTCGTGCCTACGTAATATAGTGATACCGTCCACGTTTGTAAGCTTTTGTTCGGGTCTGTTTTCAATGGTAAAAAAAACAATATAATAAACATTGGAGTTTAAACATGACTAATACTAAAGGAAAAATAAAATATGTCATCATTTATTTCAATTTCCCTCTGTACTTTTGTTATTCTTTGCAGACATATAATATTATGTATACCTTTATTCGCAATATTTTAGAATGACAAGAGGATCTTCCTGTATTGAGATTAAAACCACCCAAAAATCGTTCATATAATATACTAGCTTTCCGCCCGCGGCTTCGCCCGCGTGGAATTTTATCTGTCACAGAAAAACTTTAAACGCGCGTCCCTGTTTCAAAACCCGGGATAAAAACTATCCTATGTTCTTTCCCGGGACTCAAACTATCTCTATGCCAAATTTCATCAAAATCGGTCGCGAGGTTTAAGCGGGAAAGCGTAACAGACAGACAGACAGACAGAGTTACTTTCGCATTTATAATATTATAGTTGGGATTGGACAGTTTTGAAATTGTCTACACTATTTATTGTAACCCTTTATTTCTTCCAAAACAGATCCGAACAAACGAGTATTGCCATAGTATAAAACAATTTTATTTCATTAACATTTATTCAAACCATTGAATATTTTCTTGTTATGTATTTCAGTGCCTTGTGAAATGTAAAGAGTATTTGCCTTATTTCTTATTTCTACATAATATTTACACAAGCAAATTAATTATTGCATTTTCTAATATATTTTGACCATAAAATATAGTGCCTATTAAAGATTAGAGTTAACACCAATTTATATGCCTTATTTTGAATTATTTTTCTCATTTTTTGTATAGTGCAATGGAGTATTGTGCAGGATTTTATACAATGTTATATTGTAGTATATTTTATGAACCTAAGACACAATATGACCAATGTTGTTGATTGAAAATAATATAAATAATATGCTTGATTTTATATTTTGAAAATTATGTTTTCAACATTTTATTATATTTTTTAATATTTAAAATGATTAGTGTCTGATTATGCAATGTCATTTATATTAAAATTTATGTAAATTGCTTTAGGTGATGACTACATGTAGAGGTGATTAAGAATTAAATTGCTTAGAAATAAGCTACTTTTTAAATAAAATAAGGAGTATGTAATCAATTTACTTGTCATCTTCGACTGACTTTTACTAGGCAATGTCTGAAATCTTGTGAATCCTTCGCACTATTTAGTAATCTTAAAAAAAGTAAGACATAACCTGACACATTTATAGCTACTGATATTGTAGATCTAGGTGTAAAATAGAATAGTAACCTCACATAATCTATATTCTGGCCGTTGTATTCGTCTGGTAGTCAGGACTCAGGAGTAATATTTGATGGTGGACTATTTTGCCCGCGTATTTTTGCAACAAAACAAAGCTTGAAACAATTGACGCGCAACATGCACCGCTCATGTTTGGCAACGTTGCACAAAAACGTAACACATTCGTAATAGACTGCATATTATTATGTATAAAATCTAGCAACCCTGCACGTTTTTGTCCATTGCTGAATATATTGAGAGTTAGAAGCTGTGCAAGATACATAGTAATAAATTGCAACCACTTGGGCTCTGTACACACCGAAGTAGACTTGTCTTCTAGCCTGTTATCTGGTAATGACAAAACTAGTAACTACTTACGTACATTCTTTCAGAAGTTTTAGTTGACTGGTCGGAGACTTCAGTGTGTAAATGCTTAACCGCACCGAGATTTTTTTTTATATTTATAAACTACTTTGTGTCACTCGATGCTGAATATG